CATCGTGCCTCGACCACCCGGTCGGCTTCGAGCTGGCGGCCTCCGAAGAATGCGGCTAAAACTTTTGCGAGATCCCGAGTTTGTTTTGCGAGATCTCGCAAAAGTCCGTCTTAATTTCTTTTTCCTCCCATGTCCCCTGCGGGGCTATTTGATTGTTTATTTTGCTCAATCTCACCCTAACAGAACGGGTGAGGAGAATAGAATGAATATAGAGACAGGCGACAAGTCCCTTTTTCCTCCAAATCCAAAATATCTTTGGAATATCTCAGAATTTGCAGTTATTTATTTATTAACCTTTATTTAACCGAGAAGTGAAACTCCTCGGAGTGAGTGAGATCTCTTTTGTGAGACTGAGCCCAGATTTGAAGCATTAATCTTGCATGTTTTTAGATGATGTAGCAGAGAACTAATTTCTGAGGTATTTCTGGCTTTGCTTTCCTCAGACATCTGGAGGGGCTGATAGTAGAGCCGCTGCTCCTTTGCATTTAAAAAAGCGAGATAATTCAGACTTCTAATCACGATCCACCCGGCTGTCTTCAGTTGGAGGTTTACAGGCTTGTCTAGCTCACAGAAGACCCCGAGGTGGACCCTGAACATCTCGCTGAGATTATATATGCAATCGGCCCTGTGAATGCCTCAGGATCACCCAGGAGGAGCTGGGAAGTGTTGCCAAGGAAGAGGGCGTCTAGACGGACTTGTTTAGCCTTGGAGGGATTTCTATAATGCCATTCTTACTCTGATATAGGGGCTCCATTAACACATTCGCCTTACTTGTGAAAGATCCCCAGTTTGAAACTGGGAGCAGACACAAACCCAGCTTCGGTGCATCACAAGCTCAGCTAATTGGGAGGTTTGCATCAGGAAGGCCGTTTGGTGTCAAACCTGTGCTAAGTCAGCGTGTGGATCCATCTGCTGTGGTGACCACTCGGGAAATAAGGGAGCAGCAAACGTACCGTCTCCATTCTTCCTCTTAAATACACCCGCCTGTTTTTCTGTCCAGGGAAACGACTTTTAATGAGCAGAGCGCCGTAAGATTATCATCACTGGAAGAATCAAAGACGTCGGCAACAGTTCAGGGGAGTGAAAAAGTCTG